CTAGTCCCACCAGCTCCGAGCATCGGGTTCCCTAGTCCCACCAGCTCTGAGCATCGGGTTCCCTAGTCCCACCAGCATGAGCAGCGGGTGCTGCAGGGGCCAGGAGGGGGGCTCTCAGGGGAGCGCAGGGTGGGGTGTGGCCGTCTAATACCAGCCCTGTCTGATCGAAGTGATCCACCGCTCCCACCATCAGGGGAGAGATTCTCCCGTGGAGAAAACCAGTATTGTGCAAAACCTTTGCTTTAAAATTTTTCTTTAGAAGACTGGCATCTCATGGAAACGAATGGGTGGTGGTGGGGTGACCACCAGTGAAACAACAGCAGACATGCTAGGAACCTGCCTGCAGATGAGGCTGCTTCTGAGTTGCCAGGATTTAAAAATCAACAAAGAAAAAACAATAAATAGCATAGTAAAACAAAAAAAAGAAGGGAAGATGAACCAGAGGCTGGAGTCTGTGAGAAAATTCACATGAGATTCGAGAACTGAAGAGCAGGCTTGGTGAGCTGAAGAATCCAAGAAATGGCTTTAACAGGTGGTCAGACGAGAACGCGAGGTATGGCCGGAGTCCGTGTGTAGAACAGACGCGGAGAGAAACCAAGACCGTGAAGCTCCAACAGTACGTCCTGGAAATAAGCTCCACGGACGGAGCCCGAGTGCAGGGGCTGTTCTCATGGAAATGCAGAATGGCGTCGCCATGACTGGGGACAGACAGCGTTGGAGCTGGACAGACACTGTCAGGCACGAACCCCTGCCAAACTGGCTCCATTCAAGTGAAAAACTTCTGTTCATCAAAAGACCCTATTTGTGACTGAAAAGGCAGAGACAGGCCAAGAAGGTGTTTGCGGTGCGTCCCTCAGACCAAGGACTGGCACCAGATGTGTGAAGATCCCCAAGAAATCCGTGACAAACCACCCATGGCTCATCACAAGCGGGGAGCCGACCTCAACGGGCACCTCACAAGTGGCCAATTTGTGTAGGGTGCTCAACTTGCACTCACCACAGGGACACTGGGCCCCGGAGCAGTGCTGCACCCGGGATGCTATGGGCGCGAGCTCAGCCGGCCCCTGCGGCAGGGCGCATGTGGCAGCGTGGGCGGGCACCGTCCCCCAACACGGAACGGCCCCCCCCCAGCAACACCCCCAACAGAAACGAGAGCTCTCGGCCCACGGATGACCCGTCAGGGGAACGTCCGCCCAGCAGAAAGCAGAGCCCCGCTGGGCAGTGCTGGTGCTACAGAACCCCGACCACGGCAAGGAGAGAAAAGAGCTGCTACCTGCCGCCCGGCCGCGTCTCAGACTTGCGGGGGAGCAGGGAAAACCAGACAGGAAGGGCACGTTCTGCCTGATCTCACGTTCGTGGAATTCAAGACAGGTACCTGAGTCCACATGACTGATGTCAGAGCTGGGGACACCACGGAGAGAGGCAGAGGGGTCTCGTGGGCACCCGCGATTTTCTACATCTCAACCCAGGTGATGGCTGCCATCTGTGTCCACACGGGCAAAACTGCATTTCACTGCAGACTCAGGATTTGCAAACCACACTCATCTGAGCCTTGCCCCAGAGGTGGTCACGTGGCTCTGCTGAGAACTTCTGGGTCGGCTCCTTCCCCTCGGCAGCCTTCTGCCTCCCCACATCACGGTGCTGCTCTGGGGGCCTGGGTGCTCAGACGGCTGGTAGGAAACTGCCGCATGCTGAGCAGGCCACTTGTCCTTTCCCAGCCCTGGCCTCTGCGGGGGGGTGGGGGGGGGGACCCCAGACCCTCAGCTCTGCTGCGTGGGCAGGGGCAGCGAGTGAGGCCCAGCTGTCCTGGGCAAGGCGCCACCTGGCCCTCTCCTCCCCCACAGCACTGGCCCGTGGAGCCCGCTGAGCCCTCTGCATGACCACGGGCCAGGGGGCGTCTGTGGGGACACTGGCTCCGCTGCTGCCAGCGTGCCATCCGGGGGGCCTGCCCCTGCAAACGGACAGCACGAGGCAGTGGCCCGCAGGATGAGAGAACTCGAACAGAACAGGAACGAGAGTGAGGTGCTTTCCGGGTCTGGGGGCAGACGGAGTGCAGCTCAGCACCCACGGACGTAGGCAGATCGCCCACGTCACGGACACGTCCACACTGCAGACACCCTCATCGTGGAACACGCACCCCCGTGGCTCTTACATGTCTCTTGAAGGACTTCCGGACGTGTCCCTGGGCAGTTCTCCGGACCACGGCATACTGGCGCACGCAGTAGGTGTTTTCTTGAGGCCTGATCACATTGGCCATCACCTCTACCAGCCTGTCCTGTGGGAGCGCATCATACGCCCCGGTCACGTCCACCTACGTGGGAACGGATGTGCTGTTTACGGGCCGCCCCCAGGGTCCCCAGTACTGCTGGTGCTGACCTGCGGTTACCGAACTCAGGGGAACCAGACGCGGGAGGACCGGAGACACCCTGCACCCCCCTTGTTCCCGCTGCACACGCCTGACCCACAGCCCCCAGACTCAGCACCCCGGGGCAGGCCTGCATCCCTCCCTACACCCAGAGATGTGATGTGGCTTCCCCAAGGGACGCCCCACTCGAGCAAACTCAGGGGCTGAAGGCCAGCACTCCCGCCCCCTGCCCCGGCCAGGGCCCACGATGCATGGCCAGCTGGTGGGGGGGCTGCTCCCGTAGGCCAGACGTGCCCAGCTGGCTCACTTGGGCGTGGGGTGGGGACCGGAACCGGGCACCCACCTTGACAAAGTACAGCTGGGGCACCGGGTCCCGGGCCCGCATGCGCAGCACAAAGGCGCGCCAGGCCCTGTGGATGTCATCCATGCCCAGCACGGAGGCCCCCAGGAGGCTGGGGCGCCGGGCCCGCTCATAGTTCAGCACGCTGAACAGTGTCTTCACTTGTGAGGTGAGGTGCTGGACCTGCAGAGCCGGCCCACGACCGGGGCAGCATCCTCAGACGATGCCCATCAAATGGGGGCCTGCATCAGACTTGCCCACCCTACCTACCGGGCCCCCAGGAACAGTTCCCTGCCTCTGTGCCTCCCCTCGCCCACCCAGCATCCCCCAGACTCCGGAAGGGCCAGACAGCTGATCCCCCCTCACACCCCCAGGCCCTGGGTCTCCCCAGGGATCTGTTACGGGATGTACAGAAACTACAGCTAGCCACAGGTGTCTCCCTTCTCCAGCTACCGAGCTGCCACCACAGACGGGGCAGGACATGCAGGAGGAACTCCTCTTTACTTGCAGACCCCACCAGGCCCCCAGCCAACATCGACAGCCCTGCTGTCTTATTTGGGGGCATCACAATGACCAAAATCACTCCCAAACACGCTATGGAGCCACTAGAAAGGGGTCAGAGCTCTGGTGACAGAGATGCCGTGGGGGGGG